AGAGAGGGAGAGAGAGGAATGAAGATAGAATGATGGAGAAGGAAAAAAGAGAGAGAGGGGGGGGAAGAGACAGAGAGAGAAAAGAAAAGCTCCTTACAGTGCTATTAGGTGCATTATGGTGATACAGTCCAGTAGCTCCTCCAGTAGTTATTCCTCCAGTATGTAGTCCTGTACTTGACTGTGAACTGGAGACAGAGCTCCCTGATGCACTAGGCACACTAAAGGAATCAGGGACAGAACTAACAGACGCATGTTTCCTCTTTTCTTGCTTCTTCCTCTTGTTCATAACACGCCACACGTTCATCTTGAATCCAGTTTGTGTCTCCTTCTCTTCTCAGTCTTATAAAAAGAGAAGACTTAGACAGTAGGCACTCTGTTGATAGAGTCTAACAAAGTCCTCTCTCTATCTCCAACTATAATAATAAACGAGAAATAGGCGAGGGGTCTTGCTTGGTATAAATTTCTCTCTCTTACTCGCTCTTTCTTTCTCGGTATAACTAAATTGCTGTTAGTATTTGCAGTCCTTACACTCCTCCTCGGCCCACGGGCTTCTCTGGTATGCCAGGAATGAAGAGAAGAGACAAGAAGGAAGAGGAGGAGGGAGAGCCATCTTCAAAATTAACAAATAATTTTAATAATAAATAATTAGTATAGTATAAAAGATTAAAAGTAGAGAGTAGTTCTAATATCCTTAGTCTCAAATCATGACCATCGAAATTTCCCCTTTTTTTTCTTTTCTGTATTGTATAGTGGCCAACGAAGAGGTTGAGTGTCAGCAACTGATTTCATATGAACATTACTCCTTTTTTCGTTTTTTTTCTCTTGCACATCATATATTTTGAAAGTAGTAGCTATAGTTTTAGACTCTGCAGGTAAGGGATGAGGCAGGCTGGGACTAGGCTCAACTGCAGGTAAGTAACGGGGTGGGCTGGAACTAGGCTCAACTGCAGGTAAGTAACGGGGTGGGCTGGAACTAGGCTCAGAAGCTATGCCATATACAACAGGTAAGGGAGGGGGCGAGCTGGGACTAGGCTCAACTGCAGGTAAGCAACGGGGTGGGCTGGAACTAGGCTCAGAAGCTATGCCATATACAACAGGTAAGAGAGGGGGCAAGCTGGGACTAGGCTCAACTGCAGGTAAGCAACGGGGTGGGCTGGAACTAGGCTCAACTGCAGGTAAGTAACGGGGTGGGCTGGAACTAGGCTCAGAAGCTATGCCATATACAACAGGTAAGGGAGGGGACAAGCTGGGACTAGGCTCAACTGCAGGTAAGCAATGGGGTGGGCTGGAACTAGGCTCAACTGCAGGTAAGCAACGGGGTGGGCTGGAACTAGGCTCAACTGCAGGTAAGTAACGCGGTGGGCTGGAACTAGGCTCAGAAGCTATGCCATATACAACAGGTAAGGGAGGGGACAAGCTGGGACTAGGCTCAACTGCAGGTAGGCAACGGGGCGGGCTGGAACTAGGCTCAGAAGCTATGCCATATACAACAGGTAAGGGAGGGGGCAAGCTGGGACTAGGCTCAACTGCAGGTAAGCAACGGGGCGGGCTGGAACTAGGCTCAGAAGCTATGCCATATACAACAGGTAAGGGAGGGGACAAGCTGGGACTAGGCTCAACTGCAGGTAAGCAATGGGGTGGGCTGGAACTAGGCTCAGAAGCTATGCCATATACAACAGGTAAGCAACGGGGTGGGCTGGGACTAGGCTCAACTGCAGGTAAGTAACGGGGCGGGCTGGAACTAGGCTCAGAAGCTATGCCATATACAACAGGTAAGGGAGGGGACAAGCTGGGACTAGGCTCAACTGCAGGTAGGCAACGGGGCGGGCTGGAACTAGGCTCTGCTGGCATTAAGTCAAACGCTTTGTTAGCACATGGTATGGTAGGCTGTTGAAATGATGTAGGAACTGCTGAAAAAGTGTTTGGCTTTGAGATTGAACTGTAATGTGGATTGTGCAGACTAATCCCAGTAGTATTTATAGGCTGTGGAGCCAGGCTAGGTGGATCAACTGAAAATGTGCTGGAATTTACAGCCTGAATGGTAGGTATGGACTCATAAGGGAATTCAATATTTTTTAACTTTTTGCAGCAATTTTTACCATTTACTTTTAAAACAGCCTCTATAGTGTAGCTCCCAGCATATTCAGTCTGAAACGTGACCTTCCATTTATCCGACTTATGCTCTGTAGTGCATGATACGGTATCATTTCCTCTCTTACAACTACACAGTAAACTCATCTGTGGAAAAACTATCTTGAAATGGTGATCAGCTTTAATTTCAATTTCAACGCAGTAATTTCCATTTCTCTGAAAATAATTGTTGCAAGGTTCAGGTTGAGGATACGGTATTGTATACATGTGCATGTAATTGCCATCTGTTATGACAATTTCAATATTTTTGACTGCTCCAATTCCTTCAATATAACCTTTATCAGCATCCCCTCCTTCTTGTGCAGCATATGCTAAGGGACTGATATTTTCAATGTTCTTTGGATCCCAAGATAACGTTTCTGTCACTTGTTCCATTGATTTAAGAGCTTTAGTACCCAACACAGCCACTTCCAGTTTGTCATCACTCTTGGCAAGTTGTTGAGCAAGTTTGATTCCAGCCTCTAGCTTGCAAATACCTGTTTCAATGATATCTTTCTCAACCCACAGTGTCTTAGAGAAGCCATTGTACTGTGTATCAACTTGCTGCAGGAGTGCTTCTTTACGTTTATCTAAGAGCTTGTGCAGTTCTTCAAATTGAGACATGATGAAACTTTTCATTGTGTCAGGATAAACCGTAACATGTTTTTCAACTTTGCCAATCTCCTCAAAATGGGAATGAAATGTTTTGAGCTTAGTTGTAAGTTGCTTAGAATTTGATACTAAGGATTTTCTGATTTCATCTGAGGCTTCCACAGCTGGTTTAAACTTGTGTCCATTGTGATCATACAAACCACAATCACGACAAATGACACTCTTACAGTTAATACAGTAAACTGAAAGTGCTTCTGAGGTATGCTTGGGACACATGAAACTCTTCACTTTAGGGTTCTTTTTTGCTAATTTTGGGAGTACCAGCACATGACTTTTAAAAACCAACATTTTTTTATGCGCTCCATCACAAGATTCACAGAGGTAACTTTCACATTTAGAACAAAAACTTACAACATTTGCTGTTTCACATTGATCACATTTTGATATCTCTGTGGTCATTGATAATGTTTCTACTTTACGAGCTAATTGTGTGTTAGGTAGTAACTCGTCTATTCCTTTAGGAGAGAGGGTATGCTCATTTCGACACAACGGACACTTAACGGAAGTAGATATTGATGCCAACTTCGACAAACATCCTTTACAGAAGCTGTGAAGACAAGGCAATATCCTAGGATTTGAATAAGTATCCTGGCAAACTGCACACGTTAATATAGTTTCTTCAATTATACATAGATCTATTTCTTCAGAGCAGTCTTCAACTCCGAACGGAGCGACGGGAGGTGATGAGCATGGCGAGTGTATTGATGGTGACGGTGCTAGTGACCATGAAATGGGTACATTGGTACTTTCGTCCTTCTTCGTCCCAATCCTCTGCTTCGCCTCCATGGACTCTTTCACTCTATCCACCATTTTTCTAGCGATCTTTAACCTCAGACCTCACCTCACTCAGCTTAATTATAGTTTATTAATCATAATAATAGTTAAGGCTATGTCTTTTATAACAGGCCATGCATGCATGCATGCTTACTGCTTAGGCTCCGCCACCTTATTATTAATTAATTTTTATTATTATTATCAAATAACAATAATTATTATTATAACAATTACAATTATGATTATAGAATTATCATTTTAAGTACAAATTACAACACAAAAGGAAGCAAAAACAAAATTTTTAAGGAGTCAAAGGAGCTACATAGTCTTGATCTTTACGCAGCCAGACCCTCCACCCTTTTATGAGATTTGGAAAGAGTGGAGTCTGGTTGCGCAAGGCTAGAGGTCAGAGGTATATAATTCAATATTTTTGGATCTTTTGAGGCAGTCTTCCCCAGCTACTTTTAAAACAGCCTCAATAGTGTATGTCCCCTCATATTTAGTCTGAAACTTAGCCTCCCATTTCTTCCCCTTAGGCTCTGTAGTGCATTACACAGCATCATTCCCCCTCTTGCAAGTGCACAGCAAACTCATCTGAGGAAACAGTATCTTGAATTGTAAATCAGCTTTAACTTCAATCTCAACGCAATATTTGCCGTTCCTCTGAAAATCATGAGAATTGCGATAACTTCCATCTTTTATTACAATTTCAACGTTTTCTATTTTCCCAATTTTTTCTATAATTATAATCGTTATCAAAATGTCTCTCTTTTGCAGCATATGCCAAGGGGCCAAGACTTTCGATGGCCTTAGGATCCCAGGACAAGGTTTTGGCTACCTGCTCCATTGATGTAAGAGCTTTAGAGCCCAACACAGCCACTTCCAGCTGGTCATCACTCTTGGCAAGTTGTTGAGCAAATTTAATTCCAGCCTCTAACTTGCAAATACCTGTTTCAACAGTGTCCTTCTCGACCCAAAGAATTTTAGAGAAACCATTGTATTGGCTATCAATTTCTCCTAAAAGAGTTTCTTTACGTTTATCTAAAAGCTTATAAAGCTCTTCAAATTGAGATGTGATGAAAGATTTAATTGTGTCAGGATAAACTGTAATGTGTTTTTCAACTTTAGCAACCTTTTCAGCATGAGAGCGAAACATTTTGAGCTTAGTCTTAAGCTGCTTTGAATATGATACAAGTGATTTTCTAATTTCATCCAAAGCATTCACAGCTGGTTCAAACTTGTGCCCATTGTGATCATAAATTGCACAATCACGACAAATGACACTCTTGCAGTCAATGCAGTAAACTGAAAAAAATTCGGAGGTATGTTTGGGGCAGATGAAACCCTCTACCTTAGGATTCTTTTTCACTAATTTCGGAAGCACTACAACATGGCTCTTAAATATCCCCATCTTTTTATGCGCTTTATCACAAAATTCACAGAGGAAGCTTTCACAATTAGTGCAGAAACTTACAACATTCGTTTCCTCACACTGATCGCATTTTGATATCTCTGTGGTCATTGATAACGTTTCTACTTTACGAGCTAATTGTGTATTTGGTAATAGCTCGTCTACTCCTTTAGGAGAGAGGGTATGCTCATTTCGACACAACGGACATTTAATGGATGTAGATATTGATGCCAACTTTGATAGGCACCCTTTACAGAAGCTGTGAAGACAAGGCAGAACTTTGGGATCTGAATAAGTATCCTGGCAAACAGCACACTTTAATGGATCCGGAATGTCTTCAATTCCTTCACACGGTTGCATAGCCATAGGGTCCAAACTTTTCACTGTGATTTTCCGAGGCTTTTTCATACTCGCGGCATGGATTGTCAGAGTCTCGCTGCCGAGTGCCGAGACCATTCCCCAGCCTACAGTCGTCTGGGTGGATTATCGTGTCAATAATGAAATGGACTGCCGTGTAATTTCGTGAGCTTCTTTGACGTTGGTATTGCATTCCTTTCTTCTGGACTAGTGGAAAAAAAATCATCGGCCTCGTCCCAGCCCTCTTCAAATTCATGGTCCCAATCTAGGTCCAATTTACATCGCCATTTACCCTTTTTCGCCTTTTTGTTCTCTAGGTTCTTCTCCATTTTCAATACACGTGTGGCCATAGTGTAAAGCAGCAACCATAGCATAGATCTCGTGGGGCCAGACTCAATTTTTACTGAATGCAGTCTGAAATTTTCTAAAAATGAGTGTAGTCCCGCATTAATTTTTAATAATAAGAAATAAAAATCTTATGGTTGTACAAAACAATACAGTGAAACCTGCTATTGTGGACACTCTAAAATAAGGACACCTCTATAATCAGGACAGGTAGTATCAGTCCCAATACAATATAAATGTGTATTAATGAACCTCTGAAATAAGGAGACCTCTATAATAAGGACAGTTTTATTTGGTCCCAAGGTGCCCGGAATAGACAGGTTTGACTGTAGATGCATACATGTATTTACGACAACAAATTTCACCATTTAATTTTAATTTCACTGTAATAAAGTAGTTTCCAGGTTTAACTGTTTGGAATGAAACAACCCATTTATTTTCACTCTGCATTGTAGTCAGTGTCAGTGGCGTATCTAGACTTTTGAAGATGGTGGGGCAAAGATGGCGCGCGAAGCGCGCCGAAAAATTTTTGCGGTTAATTAATATTCATAATGGGCGTGTCTTTAATTAAAGTACGTCTACGCCCACAATAATGATGATGAAGTTGACTATATCGGACTAGCTCGGCTTGCTCTTTTCTTCTCTAAAGTTCTCTTTTGAGTGTTTTCTTTATTTATTGTGTTCTCTGGCCTTAATCAAGATTGGAGATATCTTAAATTTTTAACTACAGTAAATTAGAAGGCAATATTAATTTTGATTCAGTAGCAGTTGGTAGGGCAAATGCCCTACCATGCCCTACCTTGGATACGCCACTGGTCAGTGTTACAATCCACTCCACTGATTCCAGTCACAGCCGTCATTTCCTTCGTTATAGTGCACGTACAGTCGTACACAAAATGCTAGCACTAGAAATGAGTATTTTACCACATTGAGCTTGTACTTCCAAGCAGTGACATTTACAGAACCAGGAGGATGTACTGTTCGAGGTATGACATGTGCAATTGATCTTTCATATCCTTCATTTGTTATGACAATATTAGGAATATCCCCAAATTTTCCTATGCTTTCAATGAAATCTTAATCACTTGATCCTGAAAAGAACTGTCTTTCTTGAGCCATATATATTATAGGCCCGAGGTTTTTTATGGCCTCAGTTAGGATCCCATGAGAGTGAATTCATTTTCTTCATCAAGTTAACAGCATCAATACCTTCCTGCTTGTCATCGCTCCTATTCATTGAGTTAACAGGATCAATACCTTCCTGCTTGTCATTGCTCCTTGCTGGCAAGCTATCAGCAAACTTAGTTCCAGCCTCTAAGTTGCAAATGCCCATTTCAACGATATCCTTCTCAGCCCATAACATCTTAGAGAAACTATTGTATTGTGCATCAACTTGTTGTAGGAGTGCTTTTTTGCATTTATCTAAGAGCTTGTGTAACTCTTCAAATTTTGGTACAAAATTAATATAATAAAAACTTAAAAGAAAATCTTAAATATCTTACAAAAGTAAATGTTTAACTTGGGTTTGGAGTCCCTTGACTAGAGTTTGTCTTTTGGTCCTTTCACCCGTGGGACCCGAGGACAAGGTGGGTCCTCCCTTTTCTCGTAGTGACTGGTCCTCTTGAACTGGGCATAAGATACCGATATCGGCAGATCTGGTGGTGGTAATGCACTATCACTAGATGATTCTGGAATACAAAATAACTTAGATTTTCTATGACAATCATCACGGCATATTTTTAAGACAGCCTCGAGGGTATAATCACCAGAATACTTTGTCTGAAACGTAACATCCCATTTATTTAGCTTAGATCTATAAGTAGTACATGACAATACTTCATCTCCTCGTCTGCAGCTGCACTGAAAATTCATTTGAGGAAATGATATCTTGGGATGATGACCAAACTTAACTTCAATTTCAATGCAATATGTGCCATTTTCCTGAAAATCTCTAAGAGAATTAGAATACTTTCCATCACTTATTACTACTTCAATATTATTGATTATTCCAATTTTTTCTATACAGCGTTTATCAAAATCTGCATCATAAGCCAAGGGGCCAAGATTTTTGATGGCCTTAGGATCCCAGGACAAGGTTTTGGTTACTCGATTTGACGCAAGAGCTTTAGAGCCCAACACAGCAACTTCCAGCTTGTCATCACTCTCGGCAAGTTGTTGAGCAAATTTAATTCCAGCCTCTAGCTTGCAAATACCTGTTTCAACGATATCCTTCTCCACCCAAAGCATTTTAGAAAAATCATTGTACTGTGTATCAACTTGTTGCAGGAGTGCTTCTTTGCGTTTATCTAATAGCTTATGAAACTCTTCAAATTGAGATGTGATGAAAGATTTCATTTCATCAGGATAAACTGTAACATGTTTTTCAACTTTAGCAACTTCTTCAGCATGGGAACGAAATGTTTCAAGCTTAGTCTTGAGCTGCTTTGAATCTGATACCAAGGATTTTCTAATTTTATCTGAAACATCCATTGCTGGTTCAAACTTGTGTCCATTGTGGTTATAAATAGCACAATCACGACAAATGACACTCTTACACTTAATACAGTAAACTGTAAGAGATTCTGAGGTATGCTTCAAACACATGAAACTCTTCACTTTAGGATCCTTTCGTGCTAATTTTGGGAGGACCAGCAAGTGACTTTTAAATGCTAACATCTTTTTATGTGCTCCATCACAAGATTTACAAAGGTAGGTTTCACAATTAGAGCAGAAACTTACAACATCTGTTTCGTCACTCTCACATTGATCACATTTTAATTTCTCAGTGGTCGTTGATAATGTTTCTACTTTACGAGCTAATTGTGTGTTTGGTAATAGCTCATCTACTCCTTTAGGGAGGGTATGCTCATTTCGACACAACGGACACTTAATAGAAGTAGATATTGATGCCAACTTTGATAGACACCCTTTACAGAAGCTGTGAAGACAAGGCAGAACTCTGGGATCTGAGTAAGTATCTTGACATATCGTACACCTTAACGGAGTTTCTTCAATTTGAACTTCTTCATTACCAGAGGCTCGAAAAGAGGTGGAGTAGGAGATCGGACTCGTACTGTGCCGTGCCTCAGGTCCCTCCAGCTCTTGCAGCATAGTGAGACTAGTGGGAAGGCCTTGACCAGTTCTTTTTCCTTAGTGAGCAACTTCTATGATGTACCGAACTTGATGAGATCTACGATGAGACTATGTACATCCATAGATATTTAATGATTTAAGGTACATCCCTCTTTGCCCCGCCCACTGGCATAGATCATGCATGCATGCGTGTTATATTTTGCACACGGCCCAGTTTGCACACACATCCAGAGGAGTGATCATTCGTTATTAAAGAATTAGATGTCTATAATTATATCAAGAGTGGATCTTGATTGTATATTTAATGAATCAAGTTCAACATCATCTCGTTCTGGTGATATCTTTTTTAAATACTAAAAGTAATGATCATAAGAATAGTTGCGAGGTTCATGATTAATTTCAAATGTTTTAACTTCTTTGCAGTACTTGTCAGCTTTTATTTTCAAAATGACTTCCATAGTGTATCTCCCAGGATGTTTAGTCTGAAACGTAACCTCCCATTTATCTTGCTTACACTCCGTAGTGCATGGAACCATGACAGTGCCTTCTCTTATGCAACTACAGTCTAATGACAGCATACTCATTTGAGGAAACAGGACAGCGTATTTTTGATCGACTTTAGCTTTAACTTCAATGCAATATGTGTAATTCTTCCGGAAATACCTAGATGACCGTCCCAGATATCTCCCATCGCTCATGGTGATTCCAAAAATCTTCATTATTCCAATGTTTTCTATATAATTTTCGTCAAAGTCATTTTCTTGTGCAGCAAATGCTAATGGGCCAAGATCTTTTATGGACTTTGGATCCCAAGATAAGCTTTTGTTTACTCGCTCCATTGATGTAAGAGCTTTAGAGCCCAACACAGCCACTTCCAGCTTGTCATCACTCTCAGCAAGTTGTTGGGCAAATTTAATTCCAGCCTCTAACTTGCAAATACCTGTTTCAACGATATCCTTCTCCACCCAAAGCATTTTAGAAAAATCATTGTATTGTGTATCAACTTGTTGTAGGAGTGCCTCTTTTCGCTTCTCCAAGAGCTTATGTAACTCTTCAAACCGATATGTAATGAAAGACTTCATTTCGTCAGGATAAACTGTAACGTGTTTTTCAACTTTAGTAACTTCTTCAGAATGGGAATGAAATGTTTCAAGCTTAGCCTCGAGCTGCTCCAAATTTGATATTAGAGATCTTTTAATTTGATCTGAAACCTCCAAGGCTGGTTTAAACTTGTGTCCATTGTGATCATACAAACCACAATCACGACAAATGACACTCTTACAGTTAATACAGTAAACTGTAAGAGGCTCTGAAGGATGCTTTGGGCACTGAAATGCTTTTACTTTTGGTTTCGATTTGGCTTCATCAGGAAGTACTAACAAGTGACTCTTAAAGGAGGCCATTCTTTTGTGTGCTTGGTGACAAAGCTCACAGAGATAATTGTGACAGTTCTCGCAGAAGCTGACCACATTTGCTTCTTCACATTCTCCACATAATGGCTGAGGAGCTGGCTGTAGAAGACTTTCCAATTTAGAAGCCAATTGTGTATTAGGCATCAAATCATCTACTCCTTCAGAAAGTAAAAGAAAATGCTCGTTACGGCACAATGGACATTTTATAGTATTAAACTTAAGTCCACGAACAAGGAGTTTTGACAGACATTGCTTACAAAAACTGTGGAGACAGGACAATAGTCGAGGATCAGAAAATGTGGACTGGCACACAGCACAAGTTATTGAGGTCAAATCTTCTACTTTAGTTGTTACAATTTCTTTCTTAGAATCTAGTTCGTCCTCTGATCCAGAAATATCGGTTTCCTTTTTTGGAGGATATTTTTCGAGCACGAGTTCGAGGTCTTCTTTTGACGCCATCTTGATTCTGGCCCCGCCTACTAACTAGTGATAGGCGTGTCCTCAATCAAACTCGCTCCTCCCACCTTATATCTTCTGATGTAACACAAACTTGCAGTGAAAGAAATACAAAGAAAGAAGGACTAGAATTCAACTACAGTCATGTCTTTGAGGCTAAAGACTCCTTTACTAGCACCACACAGGGTAAGAATGGGAATCAAAGTAGGAACGGGCTTTAATTAGAAACCCTCACTCCTGTAGCTCCTGTCCATGATAAGATGGTCTTCAAGCGCTGCAGCAGTTGCCACTGAACACAAGGAACAACCAAGACTCAAGACATTCCTTGTTTACAGATGGGTATGTACATGTACACGTATTTTCATAACATGTACTACAATCTACATGTACATGTATCACATTGATAATATTAACACTTCTATATTTGTCACATAATTATACATAACATACATGTATATACTTATATTTTCTACAGAATCCAGAAGTGAAAGGGTCAAAGCCTAAGATGCAAGAGTATAAAGTTGATCTCAACCAGTGTGGTCCGATGGTCCTTGATGCTCTCATAAAGATTAAGAATGAAATTGACCCCACACTGACCTTTAGACGATCGTGTAGAGAAGGTTAGAGAAAGAAAGAGGGAGGGAGAGAGGGGAGAAAGTTGAAAGGCAATAAAAAAGGCATACTGTGTGAAGAAATACTTTACAATCTTGTGTTTCAATTATTTACTATTGTCTCTGAAAAATTTTGATGTTAGATTACAAAGTGTGTTTATTATAATTTGTCTATTGCTATTTTTGGGAAGCAACTTTGAAAATTTGTAAAAAAATTAATTTTGATCGGAATCAGCTTAAACTTTCTATGTAGCATAAAAACATGTATGTGTATCAGAAAAAATTATAAAAATGGAGAATTCTCTCCTTTTCATTTTTGGTGAAATTTGGCCGATGACCCTGTACTATAGTACAGGGACATTTGTCCAATTTTTTAGTAACTTTGAAAATTCATAAAAAATCAAAATTTGATCGGACTCAGCTCAAACTCGCTACACAACATAAGAACATGTATATGTATCAGAAAATGTAATAAAAATGGAGAAATATTTCCTAGTCATTTTTAGTGAAATTTGGGTGGTGACCCTGTACTATAGTACAGGGACTTTTGTCCGA